TGTTCATATCCCTACAGGACCACAGCAAATGGCCCTGTTGGGTAATGACTAAAGCATGCGCAGGGATGTTGAGCATCCAACCGACAAATAGTTAAATAGCATCAGGAGGAGCAAAGCTGGAACATGTTGGATGCGGACTCTCCTGGGAAGGGGAATTATCCCGTGCTGAGTTTCCCACACCTGATAATGCCGTATCCAGTGAGTGGCTGGGTGAAAGGAGGGAGAGGAGGGTGGCTCATTGCTGGTCTTGCAAATGAGGCCTTCGCTTCCCTCGCTTTGTTCTGGTTAAAAGGGGCACAGCAGAAGTAAAACATCTTATTTTCATTACCACAATTAACTTAATTCTGAGCTGAATATTGAGAGAGAGGTAAAAAAAGAATCCAAAGCTTTTTTTTTTTATCAGTTTGGATGAAAATTGCTTTCTTCTTTTCTTCTTCCAATGCCTGGGAATTGCTGCCGTAAGTTTTAAAGAGCAATATACGATGGAGGTTTCCTTGTGAGTGCCATCCAGCTCTGAAATCCCCTGCGGTAGGCTTTTAACACAGGCTGCAGGGAGTGAAGACGATGACTTGGTGTTAGAGGAGGGATGCTGCCGCGGGGTGATGCAGAGTGAAGCGTGAGCCTGGAGTCCTGCATTCTTCACCCTCAAGAGTCCCCCAGGCTTGTGATATGTTTTGCATTGGAGAATTGGTGTCACCAAAACCAGCCACATGTCACTGGTTGCTGACGGGGCAATACATTTGCAGACCCTTTCTGGAAATCCCACATATGTCCTCAAATTGGTCAGAGGCCGTAAAGCCTCAGGCAGCAGAAGGCTTACAAGCCCCAAATATTTTCTTAAACTATGCTGGGGCACATACCCTTAAAAGCCGACAAGCCTATGCCATCTGCTTCGGTTTTTTACATGATAAAAACTTGCTCAAAATGGTCACTCAAGATGCTGCCTCTTGTCCTGGGTGCCTCAGCCCCTGCGATGCCCTGGGGCGTAGCTGCCTGCCTGAGATGCTTGAGCGAGGAGTTCCCTTTTCCACCTTCTTAATGGAATCTGGTCCTCCGGGTGTCTGTGAGCACCCTCAAGGGAGCCACCCTAGAATACTCTGCTTGGGATGTATCCCTGGTAAGGGTAAGGGTGCTTGCAAAGCTGTGCCAGACACGTCCCTGGGAAACTTGATCTATGCTCGATGCCGCTGAGCTCCAGCAGAAGAGCTGAAGTTACTGGGAGGACTGGGAGAGTCCTCATGCCCCAGTGTCCGCCAGGCACCCTGAAGCATTTGAAAAGATGACTTTTGCTGGTGTTGGCGAGGCTGGGTGTCGGGAGCCAGGCTGGGGTGTGCCTGGGGCATGTCAGTGAGTGGAGAACTCATCTTTTGTTATTAATCTGTAAATATACTATTTGGCTTTGCATCAGGTTTCAGATTCAAGCAGGGATTTTCAGTTTTAGTTTCATTGCGGTGCTCTGTGATGGCCACGCTGGTGGTGGGGGGCTCAGGGCGATACCTCTGGCTTCCCCCCCACCCTCAAGCATCTTGGTGCCACCAGTGCAGGGGGCTGAGCCCGTCCACCCAAGCTGGTGCAGCTCTGTGTATGCACAAACACCTTCCCTTTTTGCCAAACTTTGCAAAGAGGGATTTGGAGTCCACCGTTGGGTAAACTAGGGCTTGAGGCCCCACTGTTGAATCTCCCTGCGGTTGTTTCTGCCATTCAGACAGAGTTTGGATTTGAAGGGGGCTCTGTGTGGGGCAGGGCTCTCCTTGCTTTCTGGGGCCGCAAAAGCGGCTGGGTTGGGACATCGGTATCTGATGTTCCCCATCTTGATCTAATGATCCTCTGAGAGAACCCCCAGGTCCAAAGCGGCTGTGGTTCAGCTGGCTTCTTCTGATGAGTCTGAGGTTCGCATTAAGTGTGCGCTAGCCCTGTGTCACCCCACTGGACCACAGCCCCAGGCTGTCCTGCAGCACTTCTGGCCCCAAAAAGCCCTGTCCCACCATGTCCAGTAAGTGCTGAGCTCAGATCCCATCACTGCCTTCGGCACAGCCCCTCCAAGCATGCAAAACGAGCAGCAGCCCCTTCTTGCCAGCTGCTCGGTGAGGTTTTCCTGGGAGAACTGGAAGCCCTGGGTGGACCATCATGTGAGGAGCTGCTGTGGGGTCACAAGCTGGCACAGGACATCATGGCCCGTACAGGAGTGATGGCCTATTTTGGGAAGCAGCAGCATTTCATCACCCCAAGGATATCTGTGCTGTCGGCAGGGTACGGTGCCGTCTCTCTCGCTGTCAGTGGAGGGAGCTGCCCCATCCTTCCTTGGGCTCCCTGACGTTACAACAAGCTGCAGTTGAGGTCGTTACTAAAAATGAAGGAGCTGGAGGATTCCAGGGGAGTTTCAGATGAAAACAGAGACCCAGGACTGGCTTCTTCTGCAGTAGGACCTTGGAAGAGCCCCAGGACACCACATGCTCTGGAGTGGGACCTATGGTCTGGGGGACACGGGGTGGCATTGACACTGATGGGATGTGGAGGCTCGCAGGGCAGAAGAGGGCAAGAGAAGAGGGCAAGACCAAGACGCAGAAGAAAGCAGCAGCTGTAGTTCCTGGGCTAGGCTGGCGTTGTCCTCTGGGCATCTCTTGTAGATGCTGAAGATCAAACGCACCACTTGGGAGCAAATCCCAAGTCTGCTAAAAAAAAAAAAACAAACCCTGGCAATGAATAAATCCAGCACAGCTCCTTCACCAGTTTCTGTTTGATGCATAAAACCCCCCACCTTAGTCTAATCACTTTAGCATCCAGACTAAAACACAGCACTCCAGTATCTGCTGGTTCACCCAGGGACTAAACAATCTCTGAATTAAGCAAATGGAACATTAAAAATGTATTTCTGAATGCAAGAGTGAGCAGATAGATAGCGCAGAGCTGGGTATAATGGGCTGTTTGTGCAATTGTGCTTGAGGCTATCATTAACCTCAGGTTTTTCCCCAGGGAAGGAGGGCAGACACAGGAGCTGGGGCCACGTTTAGGTACATCAGGTATTTATACAGCTGCTCGAAGTGACTAGAGCTGTCTCTTGTCTCTTCTTTCTGCAATGAGCAATTTTTGTCCCCCTTCCTTGACCACCTAAAGAAACGCTTGCTATTTTTTCCAGCTCCAGTATCAGCCATGTGTCTGGGATCACGAGCACAGCTAGCGTTTACCCCCATCGTCTTCAAGGCCCCTGCTCCATGCCCAGCTCATTTCATCCCTACGTATCTCATTGTTCCCCAGAAGTTGCAACAAATGCTTTTGGAGATGACTGCATGTATGGTATGAGTAGGTAAAAAGGCTACTACTTATTGGGGCTTCTTGTGATCAGCTTGACTTTAACCCATCCAGATAATTCAGACCTCAACCTCTGCTCTTGTTCAAGGAGTCAGCACAGGGTTTTCCAGCCAGCTACAAGGAATATCTCCCTGGTGCAAAGATCTGCCAGCAGGGAATCAGAAAAGCCAGTTCATCATCACTTGTAAACTTGCTGCCCCAGGGCCTGATTTCCAGAGGGGGAAAAAAAAAATAAATTTAGAAGTCCATAAACTTCGAATAGACTAAAAACTATGGCTGGGGCTATAGCAGGGATTTATCTGAGAGCACCATAAGGTTACAGCTGAAAATTGAGGCCAAAAGGAAGCGTAGGGCTCAGGTCAGACTCCCCACAAGTGAAGTTTCTGAATCCAGAGTCCTCCCATAGCTCCCACACATCTTCTACTGGTAAACCGTCAGGCATATAATCCAGGCAGGACAGTTACAGGCTTGTTTTTATTAAAAGACATCCTCAGAAAAGATATTTTAGTACAAAAAAAAAGTTTAAAATACAAACTACAGTTGCTTTTTTTTCCCAGCATCAACATTTATAAATTACACCACATTGTTATTAACACTGCATTTAAATATGGAAACAAATTAAAACAGGAAATTCATCAACAGGCTCCAACATCCTACAAATGACTATTTACAGTATTTAGCAGCTAGGAGCTCTAGCACAGTAGTCAATATGACTTCAATAGGACAGGATGCTTGGGAAGCCCCAAGACGGCAGCTTGGCCCGTAACAGTTTTTGGGGACCTGTTTTGCCCACCTCTCCCCAGACACCCACCCCAAAGGCAGAGGTGATGCCGTACCTCAGGGTACATACCCGACATGGTGGTGCAGCTCTTGCAGAGAAACCACATTGTCCCCTGGCCCTTTAGAGCAAGATTTGGGGCACGCATGTGGGACTGTGCTATCCACCCTGCAAAGTCTGTTGGGAGAAGGCAGCCCTCCAGGCTTCAGGGGGATTTAGAGCTGAGAGCAGGGCTGGTCCTGCCCAGGGACAGTCACTGCTCTGTCCCTGTGCTGTCCTAGTACTAGTCTTAACCATGCCCAGCAACACTGGTAGGCTCCAGGCAGAGCTTAAGGCTCAGCCCTCCAGGGTCTGGCCCTGGAGCAACCGGCTGCAGGATCCCACCCATCGTCTCCTGGAGCTGGAAGCAATTTTCCCCAGCTCTCAGCAAATTCCAGCACAGCCAGAAATACAGGGCTTCAAAGCTGTGGGGGCCAGGGAAGGCAAGTGAGCCTGAGGTCCCTTTCTGCACAGGGTGTCCTTCAGCCCCAAACCCATATTTCTCAGCAGGTTGAAGACACCGGAGCAGGGGCTGCGCAGATGGAGCTGCCTGAGGTTCTGAGGGCTTTCACAGGAGCGTACGTAAGACATCATTTGGGAACGGCAGTGGAAAACAGGACACAGCAAGGCTCCAAACCCAGCACTTGGGTCCAGGGCAGTAAAACACTTCACATGCTCCCTTTCCCCCCCCAGCCCCAGCCCATCAAAACCAGCACAGAAGTGTTCAGACAGGACAGAAAGCACCAGACAACTTGAACTTGCCACAGCACGTGGCAGGTTGGAAGACCCTTGTGCATGCTCTGGAAGTGGATCTCCCCACTGGTGGCTCCTCTTCTGGTTTGGGAGCTCCCATCCAGGGGTTTCAGCAACATGGAGCCGTTTTACTTATAGCAAGGAGCTGTGTGATGCCATCAAAGGGCTGCTAACCAAGAGAAATGCTCCTCCGGGGACTTCCCAGGAGGGTGTGGGGTTTTTTTTCTGTAAACACCAAGTGATGGAGCTCAGGTCTGTGCTCCACAGAGAAGGTCAAGTCTCAAGCAGCTGCTTTAGGGCTCTGCTTCCAGTGCTGCAGGTTGGATTTTCATGGTTGTTGACTTCAGCGGGTAATACCTGCCTTTCCATGTCTTCCAGAAGATGCCCTGCTTGCGCTCATGCCTCTGGCGGGGGATGGAGCGGAAGTACTTCCCGTTGAGGTTGGCATGGCCACAGGTGCTGAACCACCAGCCACCTACCAAGGCAACACAGAGGCAGGTTTAACCCACAGCACATCCAGACAGAAAACAAACTCAGGCTCATGCAGCTGCTGCTCCCATTTTCCCCACTTTTCCATGGCTTCAGGACCTTACAAGACCACTTCACACACACTTGAGGAGTCCCATGCACTGGGAAACCTTTGCATGGATCCTATATGACTTCAGAATGCATCTGCAAATTC